GGAGGGACCATTGTATGATGGTTATGCTGACACGTGCCAATTGCTGATTGGTCCAACCTTCCCTTCTTTTCCCTTCGTAGCTTCTGCGGCCGGCAAGGAAGTCCCTTTCACGTTGATATCCTCACAGTTTGCTTCCATGTGATAAGGCTGTTGAAAGCTTTCAGGAGGTGAGGAATTAATCACCGCCATGGTTTTCATTATTTTTTTTCCTTTTTTTTTAAAACGGTGTTGCAAACACACAAGAAATTTCATATACCTTGAAAGAAGATATCAATTTGCAAAACTTCATTCATAAAAATAACCAATTGCAAGATACATTGAGTAGAAGATATTTAATTCCTTTCAGGCAAGACCAGGAGTTTGAATTTTGTTAATAAGAAAACCATATTAGGAAGGACTAAGAGTTGTATAAGACATAATTTATAATTATTAATTTATACTTAAGGATAAGCATGCTAACATGAGTTGATCCAATTGATTAAGAGTCGCATAGGATCATGAGTTTAAATCTTACTATTAATGTGAAGACTTTATTGATAGGTGATCTGTGAGTCTTTCTATAAACGTTATCTTGGACTCATGTTTTTTTACATAATAAATAATGATAAAATAACGGGAGCCCAATGAAAAACCAAAATGATAGAAAATAATGATGATATGGTTCCGAAGGATAAACTGAACAGTTCCAATAGGATTTCATTCTTGAACAAAAATCTATTTTTTGTTTTATTTCATCTATTTCATGATCGGAATGGGGGGATAGACGTTATACTATGATTTTGAATCAGAAAACAAATGTTAAGAAATAGCATATCTATTTACTCTATTAATAACCGAGTCGGATCAATGTATAATAAGAGAGTCGCTAACACTAAAACGAGAAAGAGACGGGCTTTTAAAGGCAAGTCTCCAATTATGACGCTTCAAGATAGGAGGCGACTACGTGTAAAGTAAGCACGAACCATATAAGCCTTATCATGGACTTCTAAGTAGTTGCCGATAAAATTGAAGGTCCCCACGAACATCTTGCGGAGTTTTTGACAAAAGCTTCATAAGAACCTAATAGGAAATTGGAGAGGCTCAATCAAAAGAAATTGCCTTCCCTAGGTAGGTCTAACATTAAACAAGCCATGACAACTCTACCCTAGGCAAATTTCTTTGCGGATACGTGATCTTCCCCAAAAAGACAATACTTGCGCTTTCTATTGAGGTCCCGTTTGGCAGATCAGTGAAAATCTCTTATAAGTACATTTCATGCAAGTCGAGACAAAACTTCTCTTACATACTTGTCTCGTATTCTGTAAATCACTATTTTTTTAGTTAAAGTATAGGTATCCTCTTATTGGAGGTAATCCTATTCAAGACACTGTCAAGCACTAAATGTGAGTATCTCACCTAGCGGGGATTCGAACCTTAATTCGCCATGTTGTGAGGGACTAGCCTCTTCTGCTAAACCCAACTCCCGTTAGTTCCATAAATCACTATTGAAAATCAGCTTATAAGCTACTTATAAGCTGCTCCAAATGGGCCCTGAATCCACAGCAGAGAAGCTCTCTCAAAAATGAAACCCAACGATCAGCAAAAACTTGTTTTCTGAATTTATTACTGCCAGATTTTTAATATAAGAGTTTGTTTAGTTTTTATTTTGGATTTAAATATAAGATTTCAATTCGTCTTGTTTCTCATGTTTATTTATTTTTCTAAGATAGTCCTTGTAATAATGGTAGTTCTAGCCAATATACTTGATTAGCAAGAAAATTTTAGAAAAGACAATACTTATTTATTGCAAACAACTAATTTAACTAGTTTTCTTAATTTATTCAAATTAGTTAACGAGTTCTTATATTAAAGATTGGAGGTAGTATTAAAATTGACATTTTTATAAGATATTTTTCTCGCTCCAAATAGATAATGCTTGCGCTTTCTATTAAATCGGTATATCCACGGTGGAGAACGTCTCTTGAGAATGAAACCCAACGACCAGCTGAAAGTTTTTTCTGAATTTATTGTTAAAATTGACATCTTTATAAGATATTTTTCTCCCTCCAAATAGAGAGGCATAGGCTGGCAAATGCTGCTTCTCTCTGACAATAATGGAATAATGCTCATGGTTGTCTGCTTGTCCTCCATCATCATACATACTCGGAATCCATGATGCCTGTTGTCACGTTTCTCAAATTATTTTACATAAAATGAAGTTCAAAACATGTTAGCATGTTATTTTGATCTTATTATATATTAATTGCATCATTATTCTTTTTGCATAGGTATATATATTTTCTTCCCAGAGCCAATTCTATTCAAAGCATTACTAGGGGCCAAATGTGAGTACTTCTTTTAGAAGAGATTTAAACCTTAATTCATCACGTTGTAAAACTACATGTAATATTAAATTAATTCCATTTAATTGCATCATTATTCTGCTCATTGGTTATTTGGAAAACCATGTGTCATCAATATTTTTTTAATATCTTGGTCAAAAAAATTATTTATTTATAAAACGTTCCCTCCGATCCCAGACATATTGGGGGGATTATTTTGATACTAAATTATCTTCTTTTTTTTTTGGTTACAAAGGAGCGAGATCGAACCCGCAACGCGCACACACTACACACACATACCATTCAGCCAAACGGCTAGTGATGATACTAAATTATCTTTTAAACTTATGTTTTTTTTTCCTTAAGAGATATTTGGATAAAACCAAACCATGATTTGGAGAATAGCTTCTGAAAAATAGATTTTGGAGAGAATGGATTTTGTGAAGAATAGATTTTGTGAAAAAATGATTTTGAGAGGTAAGAGTGTTTAGATAGTCGTTACTAGAAGTACTTTTTACATGTGCAAATTACTAAAAAAGGTATAAGTTAATATGATAATTATATAAGGGATAGATTTTATAATATATTTTGATTTTAAGAAATAAAATTGTTAATAAAATAATTTTTACTAACATAATTAATAATATATAAGATAATATAATTAATAAATAATTAATATGTGTTTATATATATTTATAAAACATAATATTAAATATGTTTATAGAAAAATGATTTATTTTTTACTAACAGAAAAATATTAATTTTCTTTAAAGATTTAAAAATGAAATCCTATAAAAATTTTAAAACATGAAATCCCATAAAATAATTTACATACTCATTGTATTTTTAGCTTAGAGTTTAGATTCGCAAGTTCTTGAAGAAATAAAAAAGGTACACGTGAGGTTGTAGCTTAAATTTTTATGCTTTATTATGAAACAAAAAAATTACTTGTTAATATAAAATCTAAAAATATAATATTTTAGTATGAATTAAATCCGGGATCCTCTGTTAATATAAAATCTAAAAATATAACATTCCTCAAGGTTGAAAAGTTGGTTAAAAAAATAATCTTTGTTAAAAAATAGTCTTCTACGTATTAAATACAAATGTCAAAGAAATTCAAAAGCGCCCCTTTCGTATAATTTGAAGGCATCCTCAAATCCGAAGAGGATCATCCCCAATTCCCAATATTTTCTTAGAATTACAATAATATAAATATGCCTTATTTATAATAAGTTCAAAAAAATTATAAATTAAAATATACTACTCACTAAAAATTATAAATATGCCTTATTTATAATAGGCAAGAGCTGAGCGTCTGCCCAGAAGTTTTAAAGTTTTAATGCTGTCCTTATGGCTCTCTCTCTCCTCTTCTCTTCCCCGTGACCTTCCGGATAAAAAGTGTTTTTAGTCAATGACCGTTGTCTCCAATTATCACTCCACTTCGCTCAAAATTTTCTGCCCAGAAATGACAAATTTCTGTTTCTGATAATAAAATCATAGTTTCACTTAGAGTGTGTTTGGATCAAACCAAACCATGGTTTAGAGAATAGCTTTTAGATAATAGATTCTGGGAAGAATAGATTCTGTGAAGAATAGATTTTGTAAAAAAGTGATTCTGAGAAGTGAGAGTGTTTGGATAATCGTTATCAAAAGTACTTTTTATATATACAAATTACTAAAAAAACATAAGTTAATATGATAATTATATAAAAGATAAATTTTATGATATATTTTAATTTGAAGGAATAAAATTGTTAATAATATATTTTTTACCAACATAATTAATAATACATAAGATAATGTAATTAATAAATAATTAATATGTGTGTATATATTTATAAGATATAAGGTTAAATATGTTTATAAAAAAATAATTGAAAAATGTTAAAGTCATATTATTATTGAGATCTACTCTAACAGGCACAATCATCCCTCTAATTTGAGCCAGAAGCAGAATGAATTCACTTCTCCTGAAACTATGGTTTCAGATTATTGGCCCAAAATTAATGCTGTTTGGATGACATCTCACCAAAACCATGGTTTTAAGGGTCACCCAAACAGACCCTTAGCACGGTTTGACAATTTTTGAGCCAGTTCGGATAACATTTTATGCAAACTATGGTTTTGCCTTCCAAATCATATTTTGACTCTGTCATCCAAATAAGCCCTTACACTATCTCTTGTATAGCATATATTAATTGAGATTTTTATTGATGAGATATTTTTCAACATAAATGATGGAACGTGAAGCCTTGTCCACTAGGCTGTCTTTTTCTTTTCCAGCACATTTTTTTGACATACAACTAACTCTTTTAATTTCATTAATTTTTATAAATTAATTATCTAGCTTTTAGAATTGACACCAATATAATTATCACAAATAATATACCTATTTCCAAATCTCTCTCTGTTTTTTTTTTTTTAAACTGATGACAGACCAACCTAGATGAGTAGATGGTATCAAATTATTTCAAAATATTTTAATACCTTGGGTGGACACTTCATCAACCAAGACTCCAAAGAGGTCATGATGTTGACATTTGCACCTTAAGTGCATACTATTGTTTCATTGAAATAGAATTATGCCCAACTTAGAGAATATGATCAGGCGGTCAAACAATCAAGCTGTACAATAATTGTTAAAATAACATCAGCATTCAACTCACCATTCTGCCATTAGTCGAGAGAAAATGCTAATCTTCATTCTGGGAATAAGGCTATTCACAATGTGGATTAGGCTGTGGACTATAATAGATTACTGAATCTCTATAGAATATAACATGTTCTCACAAAGAGCATTGTTATGAGCTATGAACAACTACATTGAGTTAACGCAGAGAAACTTGCTTCGCTTATAAATATTGTTGAACTTCTTCGCTTATATAGAGACGTGTTTCCTTGAGAGTTCCCAGAGAATTATTGAATCAGATTTAGAGGTAATCCATAGGAAGTTCCAAATCTTCCTCAGTATCCCAATCTCTTGGACTGCCTTTCTTTCTCCTAAAACTTCTCCTTGACCTTGAAGCGTAATCCGAAGTTGCAGTTGCTGATCTTTCAGTTTCAGAGTCTGAATAGTATTCTTCAACATCATCCAGAGTCCCAACGTTCTGGTTGCCTAATAAACCCTGCAGTGACAAAATAGTCGTTTGGTTACATTACAGCATTGAAAACTGATTCAAAGCATCTAAGATTTATAATGTTTATTGAGTCTTTGTTATCATTATTTATTTTTTCTTTCCTTCTCGTTTTTTTTTTCCCTTTTTACTTGAAGACACGTGGCCATTTTATATCTTCAATTTTTTTAATTATATTTTTTTTACTTACCATTCTATGATGCACAGTCCTGTGATTTCAGGAGAAAATAAAGTTCAATGTGAATCAACATAAGAAGAAAGTATTGGGAGATACACTATTTGCAAGTTATAAATAGTGTAGCTTATCTTAAATTTCATGCAAATATGTAGAGTTACCATAGTTGCAAAGAATACGAATAAATGACCCGATGCTTGAAGTGGGTGTGGAAAGCAAGAGAAATGAAATGGATAAATTTTGTTCGTAATTTTTTTTTTATTATGTTTGCTCTTAAACAAGAAACTTTTTTTTGAACAGTTCAGTAACATACGATTAACTATTTTTTTTTCAAAAATAAAAAAATAAAAAATTACATGTTATTCTTTATTGAGGGACCTCATAACAGACAGTTATTCCACCCCAAGTCTTGCCCAAATCAAATCAAAATGAAGATCAAAAGTCAAAACCATCTCAGTTCCTGTATTTGTTTCCATGCAGAAGCCAGAATGAGCATGAGGTTATAATCTTGAGTTGGAGACAAACCTACTACCAGGCAACTGATAAAGCTGCGGATTTTACCAAGACCTATATTAGATGATGAAGGAAGGAAAGTGAAGTTGAAAGAGTTACTACAACTGAAGAAGAAGCTTGTCTTAAGTTTCACAACCGTAGAGCAAAAAAGGTGACAAAGAAGGAGAGCTTAGGGGATGTCGTGAGACATGGGCATTGTTGGGGGTAGCCGACGGTAACTTTCTGGGGCTAGATAACCTCCATTCCAGTGGGAGAACAGGTGTGATCTGTTTTGTTAATTGTTAGAACTAAGAAAGTGTGTCGTGAGGAGAGCTCTGGCCTCTTGAAAATCAGAACCACCACCCTTATTTTGTTGCACTGAATGTTTTCTGTTCTGCTTTTTGTATCTTCTACCGTTGGGTGTATTGGGGAATAGGATTTGGCCAGAATCAGCATCTTATTAAGTTGTACAACTGATGATTCAGTGCTTCCATCCATTAATATTAAAAAGATTCCCCAGTTTTTCCCTGCCTGTGTTATTATAGTGTCCTTATGGTGTTGCAGGCCACTAACAGAAGACAACTAAAATACACAAGCACATCAACAAGCGAACCTGGCAACTAGTATCTCAGTTCCCGAGCTAAAGATACCTTTGAAAGTCTTTGTATGCGTGAAGCAGCAGCTTCATGTATGACAACTGCATCGGATACAACTTCCAGTACGTCCTCAATCATCAAAGAGTAGGTAGTCACCTAAAACATAACAAGAAAACATTCTAAATTAGCAAACTAAACCTTAGACACTGAATCTAATAAAATATTCGACATTGTTCTTGCATTTAGAGACAGAAGATGGAACTACTACAAAACCAAAAGTGACAGCAATCTATGCTAATTTAGTTAACCTTGATGAGAGACAGCCCACTTACCAAACTTGACGGGATGATGGAGAGTCCAAATGAATCAAGCTCAAGCTCTTCAACAGCCCCAGAATTTATGTTGAAATTGTACCCACGCACCTAGGCCAATTAAGATTTCCAAAATATAATAAATAAAGATTAAAAAAAAATTCCAAATAGATATGATGCAATTGTAAGAGAAACATATGATCACCTTTCCAATGTTCTGTTGAGAGGGTGTTACAACCTTGTATCCTACCTAACAAAAATAAATAAAAAGTTGAAGGCTTTGAGCAGATGCTTGAGCCCTTACGCAAATCGAAGTAGAAAAGTAAGAATGATAGTTCTAAGTAGTATTGTTTTAAGAGGAGGGGTAAGAAAGTCAAATATAAACATCACAAAATCCAAGAAGAAAAGACATGAATTTGTTTCTAAGATGATGGATTATAAAGATGGAGCTAGAAGCAAAAAGATTATACAAAATTACAACTCCATAGAGTGAAAAACAAATACTTTTCAATAGAAAGAACATCCCACAATTCTATCATGCAATCAATCACAACCAGAATCCCAAGTCAAATAGCGAATTTCTGCAAATAAAAGAAACAAAGTCACAATTGAAAATTGAGCTCAACAGGAATAAGATATCATTCCTTCTGTTAAGGAACACTTAATCGTCTGCCATGTATTTGTAACAAAGATTTTCTCTCGTTTTAAATTTCTTATTCTAATTCAACTTAGCCATGTAGTTATTAACCACAAGTACAAACAAGTGGTGCACATATTGTCTACATAGAAGCATCTTCATTACAGAAGTTCTAAGGAAAACATTTGATATGAATAGGAAACATAAATTATCTGCATTCTTGGATCAAAAAGTCAGATTTCAAGTACGGCATAACACAAAAGCAAACTTTTTAATCACAGTATGTCAGGCCAATGGAATGAACACCTATCAATCTCATAAAAATGAAACAGTTCAGAAATTCTCAAGTCTTATTAAACAGCATCAGTGTGTGACATACCAGAGTCTCCAGTCCAACCATTCGATATTCATTCTCTACAACACTTTCATCTTGGACAAGGACAACATCCCCAACCTGAGAAATAAACAAGAGGAACATGAAACTTTTTAATCAATAAGTCACCCGCAGCAAAAGGAGTAAGGCACACCAATACTCTGAATTAAAAATTAAATATGACCCCAGAGAAAGGTTATAAAACCCTGCTTCAAATATTACATCGGAACTAACAAAAATTACCAGCCACTATTTGGCATTGTGAGAAATAAAGAGTTGGAAGCACTGTCACAATCTTCATAGTCGGACGGAAATCTAGCCTAAGTGATTTTCTCTTCACATCAATGCAGGCAGAAAGACTAGAAAAAAAAAGAAGTAAAAGTAAAGAGTAAATGCAAGAGGGAAAATATGTTCGAATTAGCATATGCACATTCATCTCAGCAGTACCAGTTTACAAGAAGGAAAGCAATCTCTGGATTTAAAATTTTTTATACCTGGCTAATATCCTCCAGAAGGAACCTTTCTGATTCCCCGGAAAGCAAGTTTGGCCTCACCTCTACAAATAATACCACCCACTGAAGAAATGAAATTTTCAGCAAACGACTTAGCCCCATAAATATACATCAGTGACCGACCAATTTATACGTGAAATCTCAAAAAACTTGCTTACAAAGAAATTGACTGGGGTTGAAGTGACAAAAACCGAGTGCTACAGTAACTCAGATGATAAATTAAACACTCACAGAGGTGGTGTCCACCCAAAGCTGCGAGACGAATCCCAAGCTAATAGCAGAGCGAATGCTGATGACTTGTTTTGCCAACAAGGTCGACCTTCTGATAACCTGTTTAGCTCTTCTAATTCCAAGTTTAACATTAAATTTCTCGTCTTTTTCTAAATCAACACCATCTGTATCACTCTGAACTGGAACCAAATCTTCCTCCCTTGAACTATTCTCTTCCTTTCTGCTCCGCTCATCGACGTTTGAACCAGAATTCAACTCAACAAAATCCTCTGATCCCGATGAAGCTGTCGTATCGTCCCTGAAACCCAGATTATTAGCTGGGTCTCTGGCGGAAGACCCGGGGATTGGAAAATTTACTGCATCCCCATCGACCCGATTTCTCTCTAAACCGAATATCTTTTCCCCTTTATCCTCAAATTCAAGTTCATCATAGAAACGATAATTCTTCGAGCCCATCCTGCGAGAGCGTCGATTTGCCACTGAAGCACTCTTAAGGAATTGTGCATCGCCATTGTTATCATCTGCAGGGTCTAAATAACTGGCATTGAATGAGTTTACACAGAAGGGGGCATGGAATCTGGGTTTAAGTTCGTTTCTTGGCCTTAGATTGAGAAAAGCTAATCTTCGAGCTGTGGCCACAGAATTGGCGATGGAATTTGAAGCAAGAAAATCACACATAGTCTTGGAAAACCTTTTTAGGGGAGTAGCATTGCTTCTTGTTGCGCGCGAACCAAATCTAATGGATTGATGGATCGATAAGAACTAACAAGCACGAGATCGAGGAATGGGTAAAAGCATTGAACTACGTTATCTATCAATGTAGACTAAACTATTTTATTTTCTTTTAGTATATTTTTAAAGACAATATTTATATCAAATTCTCTATATTTTTTCTAATCACATATGATTATGTACTACTTACGATACTAATTATAAGATCTCATTTCTAAATTATAAATGAGTTCTTATAATTAAGACCGGAAGTAGTATCATTTTACATAAAAAATAGGACATATAGTAATTGAAAAACTTAACATAATATATATAAATATTCAACTAAATATTTTCCTATTTTTAAATAGCATAGAGTATTAAAATTAAAATTAATTTATCTATCAATCATCATTTAATATAGGGAAAATCCCAATTAAATCCATATGAAATAATACAATTCCAATTTAGGTCGATACTTTTAACAAATTCCTAATTAGGTCAAGAGGCCTAATTAGGGATTTTCAAATGTTACTAAAAGACCAGAATGTCCCTTTGTAATAAAAAAAGAAAAATTGAATGTAGGTGTAGGCCTGATTTCAGTTTTAATTATTCTTGTAGATTTAATTAAAATTTTTTTAATGAAAAACAATTAAAAATCAAGATAAAAAATACATGATAATGAATTAAAGATTTATAGAATTCTTCCATATCTATTAATATTAAATTTATGATTTCTCAAATCATGTAATGATTGATCAATTCATTCTTTTTTTTCTTTCTTGAGAAGAGGGTCGCCAATGTAACTTCTAGTGGAAGGAGAATTGGCACAGCAAGCAAAAGAAGAATCATCTTTGATATAACATTCCTACAGTATGAACCAATATCTTATTCATGTTTCAGTTTGTGCCATTGTTTTGATTTAAAGTTGAAAGTATAATAATCCTTGAGATAATATATGATAGCATATGATCATCTACGTTTGTGTAAACTATCGTGAATCTTCAAACCTAATAGAAGCTTTTCTTCATGACCAACTTCAAATCTAATTAGATTATCAATATGTTTGTGTTGATTACATGATTCAAAAGAGATTCGTTGAGCAATGTTTTATATCTTTTTGATATACTCTCACATTCAACAGTATAAAACGCTGTATGTGGAAATTGTTGAATAATCATATACATATTCATATTCTTTATCCATTAGTTTTTAGTTAACCTATCAACCATTTTTAGTCATGTGTTAATCATATTAGTTTTAAAAAAATTTCAATTAAATCTAATTAAAATACTAATTAAATTAATTTATTCATTGCAGGTTGGTATTAAAAATAACGTCTCTTTCTAGATCAACAGTTGCAAAAGAACTATTTTGTTTTTTTCATGTAGATGGGCAATTTGTGAAGAATGTTGAAATTGTACCAAAAAAAAAAAATCTTTGATCCTGTTAATCTTTGATATTGTAAAATTTTTTATTAGTTCCCATATTTTTTTTAATTCTATGGATATCTATAAATCACGTATTTTTTTATCTTGACTTTTCAATTATTTTTTATTGGCCATAATCTTGATTTTTCTTTTTTATTTGGTTTTTTATATGATAATGTTTTTGGCCAAATTTTTATATGATAATGTTTAAAGGAAAAACATGTTAGTTAAATTTAGTTAAAGAATTAAAATTGAAATTAGGCTTTTTAATTACAAAGGACATTTTGGTCTTTTAACAACATTTGAAAATCCCTAATTAGGCCTCTTGGCCTAATTAGGAATTTGTTAAAAGTATAGGCTTAAATTAGAATTTTACTATTTCAAATGGATTTAATTGGAATTTTCCCTTTAATATACGCCTATAAATATTATGATAAGCCATCTTGTTTAGTGATTTGAATAGCAGGCTTGCTTTTCCTCTCAAATTTCTCGTCCACGCCTTATTTGGATGAAAAGAAAATTAGAAAGAAAATAATACTAAGAGTGAAAACTCATCAAAATAGTAGTTTTACTATTTTTGAATTTTTTTTTTTTACTATTCTCTTCCCCTGCTTTTCTCTTTCTGTTCCCTCCTTGGATATAGATTTTTTAAATGTTTGGAGATGAAGAACGAACATGCCTTATTTATCCAAAATAAATAAATAGAAGAACAAATATGCCCTTATTTCTAATATTCTTCTTTCTTGTTAAGGGTTTTTTTTTTTTTGGTGGGTGAAATGTATGCTTATACTGGTTCTCTCTTAGTTGGTCTTATATATGGAGCAGGATTTGAGGGGTTCACCTCCTAAAAAGAAAAGATATTGACATTTTCTGGTGAGTAATGAAGAAGATACCATAGCAACACCCTATCACTTTATGAAAACATGAACAAGTCTTAGTAGTCTCTTCAGAAACATTCCCTTTCGTTTCTAATATAAAAGTCATTGAGTGGATTGAATTTAGTTTTAAATTAATATCTCAATCTATTTTATGTCTTTTTCATTTAAATTAATTTACATAACTTATAAATTAATATACAATCCAGTATTATATTGGAGTATTTTGAGAAAATCATTTTATATTTATTATAATTGATTAATGTATTTGACTTTCCTAATCTACTTAAATCAATTAAGTAGCTCTTACAACAAATGACAAGCTTAACACACAAATGTGATTAAATGATTGTTCAAGCTGTGGAAAATGCGTTGGGCAATTCTTATTATTTTATTACTACCGCTGATTGTTAATATAAGAGTTAGTTGATTAATTTGAGTAAATTAAGAAAGTTTGTTAAGTTAGTTACTTATAATAAATATGTGTTGTCTTTCCTAAAATACTTTTACTAATAATATATATTAGTTAGAATTACTATTTGATAAAACTCTTAACATGTGTAACCCTATAAGGACTGTCTTAAAAAAATAAATAAATATGAGAGACAAAATAGATTAGCATCTTATATTTAAGACTAAATTGAAAGTTAAAATAACTCTTATATTAAGTAGCAAACGCAATACAATCCAAAATTCAATTATTACTGTTTTGTTGTCTTTTTGTACAATTTTTCAGTTAAAACAATTCTTTTTGTACAATTTGATTTGGACCCTATCACATATTGAGGGATATTTAGTTTAATTTATTTTAAATGATTTTACGTTATAAAAAATAAATATGTAAAAAGTGTTTTGTTTTTATATAAAACACAAAAACATTTTTCTAGAGAAGGAGCTAAACAAACGCATCACGCATGCCAAGCAATGAGGGGGTGGAAGAGTACAACATAACAACCGAAATATATTCACTCTAAAAACTAACATAGACAAGACATCTAAAAAATAAATATTTAGAGGCAATGCACGATGCGAGTTAATAAAATATTAAAATTAGGTAGAATTTAAGATAAGCATTATATGCTTGGTAAATAAAAAAACAATATTACATGAAAGAATATCATCTCATGGTTAATGATAAAATCGTGTGAAACCAAATCCAACTAGCACAAGGAATTGGAAACCAAAGCGTAACAGCATATTCTACCCTCTTAAGAAATTGCCCAATAATTTGACGCCACGTGTTAGGAATAAAATAACGCCCCCCTCCCCAATTTGCTAGAGAGAGAAAAAGGAAAAAGAACAAATAACGCAAACCATTCAACGATCTATAAGTGGCGGCTCGAGTTCCTCTCACAGAATTTTGTGAAAAGGCGCCATCGCAATTCTTTTTGCTCTTCCCTGCAACATTCCCCGGTACTCCATCCTTGCTTCTCTCTCTCTCTCTCTTTCTATCTCGTTTTCCCGCTGCAATTTCCTTTTCCTTCCGTAGATTTCAAATTATCGAGCAAACCCTTGAGTCGCATGACAAAGTTTCTTACTTTGACCTTGTCTTGGAATTTAACGGTTCGATATTGTGTGGGCTGAGTTAACTGTTGAATTGCTGGCATTAGTTATATCCTAACCAAGTAAAATTTTTTGTTCTCTAGCTGAATATAACTTCTGCTGATGAATTTTTGTGTTCTCTCGGGACTTGGATTGAGTTTTGATCCATTGGATCGGGATCATAATTTAGACCTTTCTGGCAGATCTTGGTTCCTACTATAATCTGGTTTTTGTTTTTGTCGATAATTTATTTCGAATAGACAATACTGCTTGTATAGCTCTTCTTAATATGTCATGAAGTTGAATTGTCATACTTTGGAATTTCTTCTGTCAATGGAGTCATACAAGTGCTTCGTAATACATGTAAGAGGGTTGTTAATGGGGGATAAAAAGGGAATTGAGATCATATGTAGCTGGCCTCAGGTAGTTTTAGATTATGTAAGGCAAGAGTGGTACCTCTAACGACCCTCTGGGAGTTGGCTAGAGGAGGGAGACAGAGAGGAAAGGGAGAGGGATGTACTGGATTTTCAGTTTTGGAGATTTGTTAATGAATTCACTTATATCTGAGAACCATTATCTTATTGTCATTCCGTTTCTTATGGTCAAAAAATAAATAAAAAAGGACCACTCTCGGATTTCCTCTGTACCAAAGTGGTACCATAAACAGTTTCAGATTTCCTCTATACCAGTTTCAATCACAGTTGTGCCTGAAACAAGGAGATGAGATGAGATGAGATGATCCGAGCATCTCCATGAGCTCAAGCTCACGCTCTCCTCAACACGAACTGAATACCAGTACATCTACCTTCCTTTTCTAACTAATTCCCAGTCAGGTAGGTAGAGGTCCCACTCTTCGTTAACAGAATTTAAAACCACCTGAAGCCAGCTGCATGTGATCTCAATTCCTTTTATTTCTTGTCATACACCTCTGTTAAATATATCAATTATACCTCCTTGGCCCAGCTTGACTTGTTATTTTGTTCTGTTATCGGTTCAAGTTATGTCACTTAGAATTAGAGGTGAGATTATGATTAGTCTATTTGTTGAAAATCTTACCTCTAGAATTGCCTAAAGGAAATAAAAGACTAGCCAAGTCCGTTGTGGCCGTGCATGTGATGTCTTTCTCATCTTTTTTCTTTCTTGGGTTAATATGCAGATTGCTAATTGGATCTTCATGAGTTCAACAACTACTGGACCATACTTCGTTTCCTGTGCATCGGGAAACAAGAACAGCCTCTTCTGCTGGATTTTGCTCTCCTTACTGCCAAAGTATTTGGGAACTCCATTTGCACGCTTCAACTTTCTTCTCATTCAGGCAATTGACAGGAGTCCATCAGCAGTTGGGGGAATTTAGTTGTAATTACTTTACAGCGTTGGTTACTTTGGCCATCAGCATATTTAGATCCCTGTGCTAATTGGCGAAATGGTTTCCTCTCAGTTTTCTGATTTGCCTAAGAATGGCGTTTGCAAACCATTCCAAACCCAAAGACTCTTTCCTACAAGTCTCACTGACAATGTAATTACGGACCAACTTGAGCTTGATTTCTCTGATGTCTTTGGTCCAGTTACAGTGCCTTCTATAGAAGTGAATGATGTTGATTCTGCTATTGTTGAGCTTGAGGAAGAATCAAGTGAACTCGTTTATGATGATCCAGCTGTCATTTATACCCGCTCACATTCATTAGTTGGCCCTTCTACCTGTGTTAGCCAATCACTTAAGCTTGGAAAACTCACTTTACATGGAGATGAGGATTCATTGGAAGCAGCGGAGCATGCTGCTGGAGAGACCATTAAAGAAGTTGATGAATCGAATGTCAACATTGCCATCATTGAAGAATCTCTTGAATGTGATAATGGTCATCTTGTGAAGATCCAGGGAGTGAGCATTGAAGATTTTGAGATTTTGAAGGTTGTGGGACAGGGAGCATTTGCAAAAGTCTACCAGGTGAGGAAAAAGGGTACTTCTGAAATATATGCAATGAAGGTAATGAGAAAGGACAAAATCATGGAAAAGAACCATGCTGAATACATGAAAGCTGAGAGGGATATTTTAACCCAAATAGAGCACCCCTTTATTGTTCAGCTCAGATACTCTTTTCAGGTACTTATTCTCAAATTAGTAATACTAGGGTTTGTAGATGCTGTTTTGTTCATTATTGTTGTTGTAATAATCTATACCCATTGGCATTGGTTTCTTAAATTCAACCTTGCTTGTGTAATGTGTTAACTGGATCTTATTTTCAAGTAATCTTTAGTTACCATTCTACTGCTTTCTCTTGACGATCATAGATCAAAATGGTGATATGTTTATTTTGTTCAGACAAAATACAGATTGTATCTAGTGCTGGATTTTGTAAATGGGGGTCATCTTTTCTTTCAGCTTTATCATCAAGGCCTTTTCAGGTACTTTTGGTTTTGGCCTTTCTTTTCTAAGAAATGTTACACAGAGGAGGATAAGTACTTGACTTTGTTGTTTCATTCTTGCTTTTGATTTCAGAGAGGATCTAGCACGCATATATGCTGCTGCTGAGATTGTTTCTGCAGTTTCCCATCTCCACACAAACGGAATAATGCACAGGGATCTAAAACCTGAAAATATCCTGCTGGATGCTGATGGCCATGTATACCCCCGCCCTATTTCATGCTTGTATGACTTTTTCCTCTGCTTTAGACTTCAAATGATCTGAGGTTTTTATATTGATCAACTAGGTTATGCTGACGGATTTTGGCCTGGCCAAGCAATTTGAAAGTGATACAAGGTCTAATTCCATGTGTGGAACAATAGAGTACATGGCACCTGAAATTATTCTTGGCAAGGGCCATGATAAGGCTGCTGATTGGTGGAGTGTTGGAATCCTACTGTATGAGATGCTTACTGGAAAGGTTTGCCTCCTGCTTTTTGTATAATTATAATTGTTCATTTGGATCTTTGAAGTTGATCGAGAACTTATATCTCATCTTGCCTGGAATTCTTACGAAAAATAATGTGGCAACAGATCCTATTTGCTTTTTAATGTTGTTACCTATTTACATATCGTACTAATTTATTTATTTTTGTCGGTGAACATATTTTATTATGTTTTTGTGATAAACTTTTGTGTTCTTGGGGGTTGAGTAGCTGATGATGTGCTTCTGGTTTGGAATAGAAAATGATTGTTTTTGTTGTTTGGTCGTCGTCTCTGCAGCCTCCCTTCTGTGGCGGAAACCGTGAGAAGATTCAACAGAAAATAATTAAAGACAAGATCAAGCTGCCAGCATTTTTGTCTAGTGAGGCACATTCCCTGTTGAAAATGGTAATGATTAGTTCGCCAAGAATTCATTCTTTTTTTATCACCAAAAAGAAAAATAACTCTTTTTAAATAATATTCTTAGCGTGAAATCAAAAAACATTTCCTCCACTTCCATGTGATATTTGGTAAGCTGACACATCAATTTCTTGTGCATTTAGAAATCCATTCATGAGTTTTTTGAATATCGCATATGAAATATTAAAGATTTCCTTGTTTTGATTCGTCATACTTAGCTTAGGGATCACCCCCCCCCCCCAAAAAAAAAAATTCTATAAATACGCATTCCACTTCCCAATGATTGGATATTTGAATGTTCACCCACCAAACCCTGCCATAAGGTTCAAAATTTTTTCATTTTAGAGAGAATAAATTGACATACTTTTGCTAGAAATATATAAACCCTTTTTATTTTGATTTCTCGCTGCTACTTGTTTATAAAAGTTAAATAAACGCGACTGTCCCTGTTACAGCTTCTGCAGAAAGACGCGACTAAGCGATTAGGCAGTGGGACAAGGGGAAGCTTGGAAATTAAAAATCATAAGTGGTTTAAACCAATCAATTGGAGGAAGTTGGATTCACGTGAGGTCCAACCAAGCTTTCGCCCTGAAGTTGCTGGAAAGCATTGTGTTGCCAACTTTGAGAAGCGCTGGACCGATATGCCCATCGTCGACTCCCCGGCTGCTAGTCCAAATGGTGTCAATCTTTTCAAAGACTTCAGTTATGTGAGATCTGCAGCTTCCTTCCTTCAAAGGAATAGCCCTTCTTGCTAGCTTTAACTGGCGGCATATGATGCATGAGTTTTCTGCAATACTCGGCTTTATTTATTTAGCTGCGTGAAGACTGTAGTACTATGGTACTGCAACAAACATTTTAATGTGTCCTTATGTGTTGTGTGGGATTTACAGCTCGTTTATTATTACATTTAGCTGACTTGCTGATAAATTATTGTGGGATGGACAAATACTATGTGATTTGGCATCCTATTGTCTCTTTGCTGAGGTGCAATTTCATCTCTACTTCATCTGAGTTGGATGATTTTACTCGAGAAATCGAAATTGGAACACTGCTCTTCACTGCGTGTATTTTCCTACTATTGTCATGTTGCTGCGATCTTTGCCTTCTGTATTTTAGGAGGGATATTTGGATTTTAAGAAAATAAAAAAATCGAAGATACGCAATAAAATAAAAGACATAATAATATCCCTTGAAAATGGCTCTATGAACAGTAATTTGCAAAAAAAGAAGAAGAAATTATTATGCGTATTCTCTTATTTATGTGCCTGTAAAATAGACAGAGATAATATAAAAGTACAGGGTTCACCTTTTTTTCAAAAAAGAAAAAAAGGTATAGGGTTCAAATGTTCTTCCATCTGCCTTTTTATGGGTTATAATTTTTGAATGAGTTTTGTCCTTTTTACAGGTTACATAAACGCAGATATCTGAATATTTAATTGTTATTTCTAATTAATTATATATTTTTTATCTTTTTTTAAAAATCATTTTTTGGTCTGTGTTTTTTTTGGTCACTTTCTTTTTCATCCACGCTCCCTGAAAATAGAAGTATTTGAAAAAATAAATTACATTTTTTACATATTTTTTATCTTTAATTAAATTAACTTTTTTTTTATTCACGGGACTTAATCATTTATAGCTTATAAAAGGACCTGGGCATTATTAATTATTCACATGATAAGACATTAAAAATAACGAATTCTAAATTATATTTATATATATGTGTGTGTTTTTATTTTCTTAAATTCGTTTTTCTGGGCAAAAACTTGGTTAACTGTAACGTAACGTGGATCATCGATGATTCAAGCTCCTGGTCAAAAAACCGTCGACGTGTCAGCGATCAAAAGAGCTATTCATTAACTTTTTAAGTAGATTTTTAATGTAAGAACCATTTTAATATTTAATTTGATTATAAATATAAAATCTTAATTTATTTTATCTTTTAAATTTATCTATTTTTTAAAGATAATTCTGTAATAATTATATATATTAAAAAATTTATCAAATAATAGTTATAACTAACACATAATTATCAGGTATTTTAAAAAGAACACTTACTATTATTATAAATAACTAATTTACTTAATTTTTTTTTAATCTACATTCATCCCCAAAGAACTATGATACGCACAATTGTTTCTGACCTTTTTATCTTGTTAGACATATAAAATAAAACCTGACATTTTGGTCCAAGAAAATGTATTCCTGTTGGATAAAGCGAAAAGGCCAACGGATGGCAAGAGAGCTGCCACTGCCTTCTGCTGACGTTACTCTTAGAGCAACCCAAGTTCTGAGCATTGTCATCTTTTGTGACGCCTTTCATGGCTTCCTTGCTTCGTCCTCCTGCATATACCCTTCAATACAACCTCATGACAATATCCTTCTCTCCTCTGAAATCCACTCCACCAAATAATATTTCCTTCTTAACAAACCGTCTCAAGAGTAACCCTGTAAAGTGTAAAGCTTTTCTGGATAACATTCCCAACGATTTTTTGGAGAGCACTATATACCTGAATCAATTCCCTGTTCTTCAATCAGGAGTAGTCCAATTTCAGAGATTAACTGCAGATTTATCCGATTTCCAGAAGTGGGGTTTTCTTGTTTTTGCAGGACTGACATGGATTTACTTGACTGCAAGGCCAGGTGTTCTTATAGGCGCCATTGATGCCTACCTTCTGGCTCCTCTGCAACTCGGTTTGGACAATTTAATAGGAAGAAGGAATCTCAAGAGGACTGATTTTAAGATTGGAGATAAGATTGGGGAAGGGTCATTTGGTGTTGTTTACTCTGGTGTTGTGGTTCCCAAGAATGGTTATGTTGAAGAGAATGTACAGAAGAGGGGAAGAGGCAAGACAGCAACAAATTTGAATGTGAAATCTAAGGATAAAGTTATTCTGAAAAAGGTATTCTTATTACATGCATTTGTAGACAGCTTTACTTATATTGCATGCTTCCTGGTTCGATGAAGCCATGGTTGGATCAGTTTCTTTCTACAGGTAATAATGACAATGTGTGTGTTTGTTTATATCCATATCCTTCTTTCTTTGTTTACTTTGCTCTAGAAATATGAATGTTTCCTGGTCTGCTTTATAACTTCTAGAACAATGAAAAGAATGAGACAATAATTTAAGTCTTCTTATTTTGCTACCCGAACTCCAAAATTGATGAGAAACCTGTGCACTCTGACATGGAAGCAATCTCTTTTCAATGCATCCCCTTCTTTTTTAAGTAATGATAATCCTGTTGAATGTCTTCAAACGTTGGCTGGATGGCATGTACAGGTGAAGGTTGGAACCGTAGGGGCTGAACAATTCGGTGACTTTGAGGAGTGGTTCAATTACAGGCTTTCCAGAGCAGCTCCTGAAACATGTGCTGAATTCCTGGGAAGTTTTGTAGCTGATAGAACAAATTCACAATTCATAAAGGGTGGAAAATGGCTTGTTTGGAAGTTTGAGGTGCTCTACCTGATACTTTCTTGCATAAGCAACAACCATGGATCATTCATTGATGTTTTACTGGGAAGAAAAATAGAAAAAAAAATATTATCCATCCATGCACCAATTAACCTCCGAAAATTTTGTTTTAGTATGTTATGGTGGTCTTAATTGTGATCTTATAATATAGATAATTATAACTAAAACTATGGTCTGGTCTATACCTTGTTCTATTTGCATTCATTGCATAAAGTTAATTAAGCAAATTTGCTAAGAAACGCACACACATGTCATTAGCATCTATATTTTTATATACTAAGTGCAGGTTGTCTCTTAACAGGGAGACCGCACTCTTGCTGATTACATGAAAGATCGCAACTTTCCTTCCAACTTAGAGTCTGTTATGTTTGGAAGTGTCTTGCAAGGTGTAGACTCTTCTAAGCGAAATGCGTTGATCATCAAGCAAATAATGCGCCAGATCATTACATGTCTTAAGAAAATTCACGACACAGGCATTGTTCACAGAGATGTGAAGCCTGCCAATTTAGTAGTCACTAGACGGGGGCAGATTAAACTCATAGATTTTGGTGCAGCAGCAGATCTTCGAATCGGAAAGAATTATGTACCCAGCATTACCTTACTGGATCCTGACTACTGTCCCCCAGAATTATACGTTCTCCCAGAAGAAACTCCAAATCCTCCTCCAGAGCCAATTGCAGCTTTCCTTTCACCAATTTTGTGGCAGGTTCTAATGCTCATACCTTGTTTACAAATTAAATTACCAAAGTCAGCTCTTTTGTCGAAATAATTATGTCTATAAGGTATAGGGCTAGATTTATTTGTACTCTCTAAACCATAGATTCTTGTTCTTGGGTAAGATTTTTGCATCGGCTAGAGTCTCCACGTTGTGATGAAATTCACCATTTCATCTTTATGTAGTTATTTTCTTCTGAAAGACACACTGTAAAATCTGTTTGCATTATATTGTCTGCATTGAGCAAGTGCTAAAAGTAGAATCATGCGATTGTTGTTGCAGCTGAACAGTCCTGATCTGTTTGACATGTACTCTGCTGGGGTTGTACTCCTGCAAATGGCAATACCATCCTTAAGATCTCCAGCTGCTTTAAAGAACTTTAAGTTGGAAATCAAAACATGTCAATATGATTTGATCAAATGGAGAGATTATACTCGCCTGAGGCCCGATTTCCGAATTCTTGACTGTGACTCGGGTCGAGGGTGGGACTTAGCAACCAAGCTTATTTGTGAGAGAGGTCCCTTTAGAAGAGGACGTTTATCAGCTGCAGATGCTTTAAGGCATCCTTATTTCCTTCTGGGTGGTGATCAAGCTGCTGCAGTCCTTTCAAAATTGAGCTTAAGCAGAAAGTGAGATGCTTAATGATGTGAGTATACCGATTCCCTTTTTTCATTTTTGCATGGTTTAATATTTTCTTTTTAATTTTGTATTGCTGAGCTTGAGCTAAATGTTGTGTTTTTGCTGTCAGTTATTTGTTTCTGAAGCTGTACAGCAGTTACTTTCCTGTTTCCAGGATGAGAAACTGAGTAAATAATTCCAATATGAACATGAAAAGATTTTGTTACATATTGAATTAATTAAACAAGGAGGAAAGGATACCATCTATGTGGACAACTTGTGACTTTTCTTTGTTCGGCCCTTCCTCTCCAAGTTTGCGGGCACACGGTGGGCTAGAGCTCAAGAAAGATGTTTATATTTCACAGAAGATAACTGCCACTGTTGGTTGCTGCTGGCCTCGATTTGTATCAAATTCAGAAAAGAGCCCTCTGTGGCTTAGGAGCTAAATCAATCTTTTCCCATGAGTCATAATTGGGTTCTTCTGAGTTGTATATCAGATGTTTGGTAATGCCAGCACATGGGTGGTTCTGACTTCTATGGCTTGAATCAAGATAGAAAGAACAAAACGAAGCCACATTTTATTGCCATATTCTAGTATCTGATGTTTCACTTATTGGGGGAAACTGATTATGCATTCAAGAGAAATGATGTTCAATTCTATATGACAGATTCATCTGAGCTATGTCCTTGTAGATGATGCCTCTTTTTGCAACCTTAGTTTGCCTATTTTGATTCTTGCTTGATGCTAATGTTTGTGTTTTTCATGTAAAGAATAGTAGTATACTGTCACATACAGAACGAGAATGTGAACCTCCATTGTTATCCCCTAGTTTCCTGTCTAGTATCATTTTTGGAACTCGAAGAACGAAGACAGATTCTTGGGACTCTTACATCATCCATTATATCTTAACCTGCATCCAAGGATACAAAAGCTAAGCTTGTTGAATATCTGTATTCAAGCAAAACCACTACTGTTGGGTTCTACTCCACCCTTGTTGGATTCAAGCCCAAGCCCAAAGTGAGTAATGGGTAAGTCAAGTTTGTTACTGTTGTTAATATGAGAGATTTGAGGGTTAAAGGCTACATAGGAAAACACTTGGTAACTTCCCTGTCCCTGAAAATCTCTCTCAAAAAAGCCTCCTCTTCTCTCAGATGGTGTGTTTACTGTGTGTCATAATCCGTGCTCTCTGTGTGATTCAGATTCATGTATTCCTAGTAAAAAGTTGTAGACAGGAATCATCTCATAAGCTGTGTGTACCTAACCTCCCCATATTCCTAATCTCCATCTTCCATTCCCATTATAAGGATAAGGTTCATGACAGATACATAGATGCATGAATAAGGTTGAGTTCATGTACCTATGTATCAATGTCTATATAGCTATAAAAAGTCACACCAAGTAATGTACCTTAGATAAGTATCTTGTCTTCAGGTCAAAAAGAAAAACAAAAGTATCTTGTCTCAGATTTTATGTAAATTGTAATGTACAGACACGCACTATTTATAAGAAGAAAATAAATGTGAATAACTTAAAAAGATATATAGAAATAAGTTACCGTTTGTGCGTCGTGGAATTGTAGTTTGATTTGCTTTGTATATTATAATATTTTACTATTGAATGTTTTAAATATTCGTGCAAAACTCAAACTAACAATCTAATTCGAGCTTATTTGGATTCACAATCAATTATTAAGCCGAAACAAAACTTTTATCACATCCTTATCTTTTATTTTGTAAATCACGATTAAAAAGTTATTTATAAGTTATTTTAGTTTTGGTATTACCAAGACTTATTGATGGCAAAAAAAAAACTCATGCTTATTAAAGTTACAATTTGATATTTCAAATATTATAAAATATTTTAAATTATTCAGATGAAAAATTAGTTACTTCCCTCGATTTCATTTAAAATTTCAATTTAATCCTTTAATTTCTATTTTCTGGCCAGTATGTAAACGATGTAAGCTTTTAAGTTTAAAACATATTACAAGAATATCTTTTTTAAAAAATTGCTGAAAAATCCTCCATTTCAGTATTTATTACTCCAAAAACATCTAAAATTTCTTTAAAGGTCTAAACACAACCTATTATTAACGGATGCAATTTTTTTCAATTGTGTATAACTTATTTTTAATTATCTACAAAACAGAAGATATTTGCTTATTGTTTAAGAAGAGTAGAATATAATTGAAAAAGAGTTGTACTTACTGAAAATAAATTGCACCCGTTTAGGGACCTAAATTCTTGAATTTCCTTAGACAATACATTTTGTATTAAGATTTTTTTTAGCAATTTCCCCAATCATTTTTCCCTTTTTTAAAATCTCATTTCAATTAAACATGCCAATGTGGACTAGCTGCCATTGAGATGCTTCTAGGTTTATCAATTTTATTCAATTTTAGAAAACTTCGTTCGGTAGGACTTTTTCTTAGTTTGGTTTTTGATGGAAATGCGTACACTCATGTGTGTACATATTTGTACACTCTCATAAACCTACACACACACACAATATAAAAATTTTAGCCATTCATAATTTTTTTAAAAAAATTAAATAATATAATTAACTAAATTGTTGACCCTCAAATCGCTGGCTTATGTATTGCGTGGCTCTTACTTGTGTGATCTTCAAATATTCAAACATTTCAAAAGGATTGCAAACCAAATCCATCAAATTCTGTCACAATTTATAAACTATGGATTTCTTATAAAAAGTACACAATGATGAAATTTTTTTAGACTTCATACGACTTTCTACAATCATCCTGGTTTCAAAAAGATATTAACCATGCCATCCTTTAAAAAAAAAGAGAGACAGGAAGGCCAGATTAGTGCATACTCATCAAATTATTATATGTTGATAAATGATATATTCATAATTAAAGAAATTAACAAGGAAAATTAATCAATTAATCCTTTTTTTTATTTAGTGTTACAAATTACAACTCAATTCCTATAATTTTGAGTTGGTTGAAACTTAGGCTGTGAACTTTCACTCTGTACAATTTAATTTTTATAATTTTAACCATTTAAAATGTTGGTCTTTGTATTTTAGAAAATAAAATTATGATAACTAAAGTGATTTTTTTTTTGAACTTGGAAACCAATATTTTAAATAGCTAAATTATAAGCATTAATTTGCGTCAAGTCAAACTTTGAGAATTGAGTTTGAAAAGAGCAAATTAAGTTAAAATTTAGCCATTTAAGACAATACTATAGGAGCCAAATGTTTAATTTTTCCTATTAAGAACAACAAAAAAGTTTTTTGAAAGATAGTAATTAATATATTAAATTTTCGTTTATTTTAGTGAAGAATCATAATCAATAATTGATAAACGGAGTAACCAAACGCGCCAGTACAGGGAGCCGCTTTATGAATACAGTGGACGGCACTTCAGAAACCGCGTGGGGACCACGCCTTTCACCGTAACTCTGATCTGTCATGACTCCTGAGGGGCTCACCGGAAATATCCCACCGTCGTAAGGCCATAACCGTCATTTCATACTGCATAAACATCTGTTTCTATAAGCTTTTAAGGTAATCAAATCCTTTGTTTTTTTTAGCTTCATATTAAGCAACTTGAAACAGCCAGCTAGTATTTTGCTAAATTGATCTGCACCGTTCACTTATCATCTGGACGATCCAGACGCGCATTACTAAAGTAACGATTGAGCAGAGTTTCAGTAAATAAGCTCTCATTTTCCTTCCCTTTCTTTCTGTGATCTTCTTCAAATCCAAATCCTGAATGCATCAGATCTTCCTGGTCATACTTGTTTCCACAGGGTCTTAAATTGCCTTCATCATTCTGTGGATTTTTGTTTGAGTTTGATAATCCACCACCTGCTCCTTTAAAGATCTGTGGGATTGTTTTCAAGTTCTGATTTTGTTGAATTTTTCTGGTCACGCGCAACACTAGAAGGCTCTGGGTCATGAGGGACATCAAAGGGTTTCTTCCTTGGATTCTTCTCTTAGCTTTTCAAGTTGTTCAAGCTGCGGATTATGTGCCGTCTGATAAAATATTCTTGAGCTGTGGTGGTCCTCCAGATTCAACCGATACTGATGGAAGAAAATGGACTTCTGATGTTGGGTCGAAGTTCTTATCGTCTACGGGCAAGTCCAAGAAATCTGAGGCTGCAACACAAGACCCGTCCGTGCCGGAAGTTCCGTTTGTGACGGCGCGTGTGTTTGAGTCGGAATTCACCTACTCTTTTCCGGTGGCAGCTGGTCGGAAATTCATCCGTCTCTACTTCTACCCTTCTTCTTATGACGGACTTAACGCCTCCAATGCGATTTTCTCCGTCACTGCTCAATCCTACACGCTTCTTAGGAACTTCAGTGCTGCTCAAACGGTATCAGCTTTGAACTATGTCTCTCTTGTGAAAGAATATTTGGTCAATGTTGAAGGAGATTCGCTGAATGTAACCTTTACTCCATCTCCTAATGCTTCTAATGCATATGCCTTTGTTAATGGGATTGAGATTGTGTCTATGCCTCCTGATATTTATGCTTCTCCTACTGAAAATCCTGTGATTGTGGGCACACAAACTCCTTACACTTTTGATAATAGTACTGCCCTTGAGACTGTTTATAGGCTTAATGTTGGTGGGAATGATATTTCGCCTTCCCACGATACTGGTTTGTTCAGGTCATGGAATGATGATACTATTTATCTTTATGGTGCTGCTTTTGGAGTCACTGAGCCTGCTGATCCTGAGGTTAACATCACGTATCCTCCAGACACACCCTCTTATGTTGCTCCTGTTGATGTCTACTCTACGGCTAGATCAATGGGGCCAAATGCTGATATCAATAAGAATTACAAATTGACTTGGATTTTCTCCATTGATTCTGGTTTTTCCTATCTTGTGAGACTCCATTTTTGTGAGGGTACTACCAATATCACCAAGGTTAATCAAAGGGTGTTTGATATATTCCTTGGTAATCAAACTGCTGAAGACGAAGCAGATGTTATTGCATGGGCGAAGAGCCAATATAATCTTCCACATGATAATGGGGTTCCAGTGCATAGGGATTATGTTGTGTTTGTTCCTGTTGGGCAGCCACAACAGGATCTGTGGCTTGCACTACATCCAGATACTAAGTCACAGTCTGAGTACTATGATGCAATATTGAATGGAGTGGAGATATTCAAAATTAATGATCCTGCTGGTAATCTTGCTGGGCTGAATCCTATTCCTGCTCCAAAGCAAGATGTTATCGATCCATCATTGGCTAGGAGCTCAAGTAAGGGCCAATCGAAGGTTCAGAAAGGAGCAATTGCTGGAGGTGTTAGTGGGGGAGTAGTTCTATTACTTGTTGTTGGGCTCATTGCCTTTGCTGCTTCGCGTCGTAGGAGGCATGGCAAGAAGGATTCCGGTACAAGCGAAGGCCCATCTGGCTGGCTTCCTCTTTCTCTTTATGGTAACTCCCATTCTGCTGGTTCTGCCAAGACCAACACAACAGGAAGCTATGCATCATCGCTCCCATCAAACCTTTGTAGGCATTTCTCGTTTGCTGAAATCCAGGCTGCGACAAACAACTTTGATGAGGCTTTGCTCCTTGGTGTGGGAGGATTCGGTAAGGTTTACAAAGGAGAGATTGATGGTGGAACGACCAAAGTAGCAATTAAACGTGGGAATCCTCTTTCTGAGCAGGGTGTACATGAGTTCCAAACAGAGATTGAAATGCTCTCTAAACTTCGCCACCGGCATCTTGTTTCGCTGATTGGCTACTGTGAAGAGAACACTGAAATGATCCTTGTCTATGACTACATGGCTCATGGAACTCTCCGGGAGCATCTATACAAGACCCAGAAACCTCCTCTGCCATGGAAGCAAAGGCTTGAGATATGCGTTGGATCTGCTCGAGGTTTACACTATCTACATACTGGTGCCAAGCACACTATCATCCATAGAGATGTGAAGACTACCAACATCTTACTGGATGAGAAATGGGTAGCAAAGGTTTCTGATTTTGGATTGTCAAAAACTGGTCCCACATTGGATAACACCCATGTGAGCACCGTAGTTAAGGGTAGTTTTGGGTACTTGGATCCAGAATACTTCAGGAGGCAACAACTGACTGATAAATCTGATGTTTACTCCTTCGGGGTGGTTCTTTTCGAGATCTTGTGCGCTCGCCCAGCTTTGAACCCAACCCTTCCAAAAGAGCAAGTGAGCTTAGCAGAGTGGGCTGCTCATTGCTACAACAAGGGCATTCTTGACCAGCTCGTTGATCCTTACTTGAAGGGCAAGATAGCCCCAGAATGCTTCAAAAAGTTTGCCGAGACTGCAATGAAGTGCGTCGCCGATCAGGGCATCGAGAGGCCATCGATGGGGGATGTGCTGTGGAACCTCGAGTTCGCTTTGCAGCTGCAAGAGAGTGCAGAAGAGAGTGGCAAGGGCGGCATTGGAGGAATGCATGACATTGACGAGGAGGAACCACTGTATGTGAACTCCAAGGGGAAGAAGGACCCGAACGACGCATTGCCAGGTTTCGACGGTAATGTAACCGATTCCCGAAGCTCAGGAATGAGTATGAGCATTGGTGGTCGGAGCTTGGCCAGTGAAGACTCTGATGGGTTAACACCAAGCGCTGTGTTTTCTCAGATCATGAACCCAAAAGGGCGTTAATTTCATGCAAGAATCCCTACACAAGGATGAGGACTACATAATACTTTGAAGCTGTTAATGTTGATGAATGGAATCAAAATTGAACTTTCAACATCATTATTATTATTTAATTTTATGTATGTTATATATTCTGTCTCATTTGTTTTGATATTGTAAGTTGTAATTGTGACCACATTACATGAGGATGAAACATAGCCGGTTCAGGTTATTAACCATTTTACCTTCCCCTGAAACTTTTGTTCAATTCTGTGCAGGTAATCACATATTTATCCTTATAGATCTTTCTTTTAAGCAATAATAAGGTTCTGGCATTGTCTTCAAGTATGTTAATGTACTCTTCCGGTTCTAAATATAAGACCTTTATACTAGTATGTATAAGGGTTTTATATTTAGGACCAGAGGAGTATATATACTCCTCCGGTCCTTAATATAGGACCTAATTCTTAAGTTGGTTTTGGTCCTAAATATAGGACCCATTTCTCATATTTATTAATTTTCTCTAAATTATCCCTATGGATACTCCCTCAACCATAATCAAGTAGAAGAAGGAGAGGGGGTATTAAGAAAGATGATTGTGGTATTTTAGGAAAAATGTATCACTTTTCTTATAATTAACTAACTTACCTAACTTTCTTAATCTAATCAAATTAGTTAAATGGGTCTTATATTAAGGATCGGAGGAGTATATATATATATATTTTGGTGATTCTTCTTTTTAACCCTTGTGAATATCATCACTCCTTGAAACAGGAATGTTGTGTTTTTTCTGTTGAGAATTGTTTGACGTATGATATTATTATTAAGAGTTTTTCATTTTTGTTGGCAAAATTTATTTAGATAGAGGTTCACGGAAAAAGCCTTTCAAAATTGTCCAAAGACAACGGAATCAAACTCATTTGTATTCAGAAAGAATTTTTTTTCCGATTCAGAATTTTATTTTTAAAAATTGAGTAGTAAATAACTAAACAATAAGTGGTCACAACATCTCTAACAATACTTAATGCGTTTTTCAAATTTTTTGAAATAAAAGTAGTTAATATCGAAACTAGAGTAGTCACCAAATTTTTAAAAATAAAAATAGTCAATCATAATAATAAAGTAGTTAGTGGCTAAATAAAAATAGTTATAGTTCTAAAAATAAATATAGTCAATAATTAAAAAATAATAGTTAATATATATAAAAAAAAAGTAGTTTCCGAAATTTTAGTGACTAATTCTTTGAAATTAATGCATGGGGTAAGACCATCTATCTTCATCTTCATCGTTTGATGCTTTCCATGAATAAAATGTATCACATTCACAATCAAGATCACATTCTTCTAGTGTATGATCTCAAATAAAATGGTAAACACATCACATGGCTTGGCAGATGCGCATTTAGCATGATTTGCGGTGAGATAGATGGAAAAGGTAGGTCCCAGTTCAGCTGTCACCATGTGGAGTGGCCTTTACGACTCTTATCTTCACCCTAACTGCTCCCATTATTCTATTCTTTTTTTTCTTTTTTTTTCGGTTGATGGGTCATTATATTAAAATATATTTTTTAAAATAAAAATACCAGGAGGAACCAGTCTGGCACTAACGCGGGTGTGAGGAAATTGCCATGCCATGCCAGCTTTGTGATTAGATTTTCTTTTATAAGCACAGAAATTTTTTCATAGAAGATATTCACATACAAAATATTATCAGATAGTAAATATAACTTTTTTTTAAGAGGAATATGCATATTAATTTATTATGTTGTAACTAATTCGCTTCTTTTTTATTAGACTCAACTAATTTTTTTTCACTAGGCTCAACTCATATCTAAATTTTATGATTAAGGACCTGTTTGGGATAGCAGTAAAAATCACTCATAAACATGTTTTATATAAGTCGAGACAAAAATTCTTCTTATATACTCATTTTATATTTTACAAATTACAATTGAAAAACTATTTATAAATTCTTCCACACGGATCCTCAATCCTATAAAAAGTGTATAACAACAGAGGACACCTGTATGCCGTGGACCACTTACATTTTGATGTATGTGCACACTACACAATGCAAAGATCTCTTTGACTCTTTACGAAGATTCTTTTTTCAATAAAAAAAAAAAAAAAACTGAAGAAGGCGACGTTGTGATCATCTTTGACGTGATGCATAAATCATCATATTCTGATATTTGGTTGTCACGTCTCTAATATCTCTACGGTTCATTGAGAATTTTGCAATTTTTAAAGGCATTTGAGATTTGTTTCAAAGATTCATATGTGACTTATACTTAACATGTACAATTTCTTTGCTTCTCAGTTGTATTAAAAGGGGGGGCTTAATAATACCGTAATCCATTTACTCATATTACCAATTTATTATTTTGTTTGGAATAACGATTGGATCTTTTAAAAGTTTTTCAATAATGATATACAATATACAAAATAAATATGTAAAGAAGATTTTGTCTTGATTTACATAAACGTACTTATGATAAGCAGTTTCAAACAAGCGACTAACTGCACGTTTGGATTAGCAGTGAACAACTGTAATTTTATATAATTATGAATTTTATAAGTGACACTGCTATAAGTGACATTGGTTAATCATAATTTTTGTTTGGATACTTTTTTTTTATAAATGATTTTAAAAATTGTGATTATGTTTGGTTTTTATTTATTAAAATCGCTTATGAATGTATAATTACTAAAAAAGATATAAAGTTAATAAAGTTGTTTATATTTTAATAATTATTATATTTAATAAAATTTTATTAAATATAATTTAATAAATGATTATAGGGTAGATAGGAGAAAATTTAGTTGTTGAAAATTGATCGGGATTTTTCAAATGTATAAATTACTTCTTGTTGCTTATCTTAAAAGTGCGGTAAAAGATTAAAATCACAATTTATCGAGATTTTATAAAAATTACCCAAATAAGACAAACATGCTTCATAATCACTTAGTTGAATTTAAACGGACTTATTTAAGATCCTACAACTTAACCAAATAAGCTCTAAGCAAGTAATAATTCAGTCATGATATAACATAACTACCCCATCAAACATGCAACTAACTGATTTAAACCAACACATATTACAAATTTGATTACATATTTATTACAAGTTATGTATAACTTATTTTTAACAGGAGCACATTCCATGCTCGTCACAATAATGAGTATGGAGTGCTTATTACAATTTAGACCATCAAAATCGATTTTAGATAGTTGAAGTTGAATTTAAATTTTTTTAATATATTTTAAGACTTTTTTTGTTTTAATAGATACAAAATTTAAAATAAATATAATATTCCTTCGGTTCTAAATATAAGATCCTTATATAGTGTATATAAGAGTCTCATATTTAGAACTGGAGGAGTATCATAACTAATTATCTTTAAAAAATAAATTTATCATTGAAAAAATTATATATTAAACATTTTAAATCTGAACCATCCATATTAGATTTTAGATGATTAAGATTGACGAGTACATGATGCTTATTGTTGTGATAAGTACTGAATGGAGACTCATTTTTAACTATATGAAGAATAGAAGATATTTGTACATACTAAAAATATATTACACAGAGTTAAAAAACTAATTGTACCCACTTACAGGCCTGGGTCCTTAAGTATTTTGGTCGATAGATTTTATGATAAGGAATTTTTCTGCAATTTTGTCTTATTTATTGCCATCACTAATATGAAACTTTAGGTCTTTGGTTTAAAGTTGGAAAATATGATTTATCTAAAAAAATAAAAAAAAATTGTTTCAACAGCAAAATTTAAAAGTTATTTATTTTTAAGGATCTCAAAGTTATAATTCACAATAATACGAATTTAAATTCTACCATCCAAACTATGAGTATTTATCACGAAAATATCAACAAATTTACATCATAATTATAAGTGAAACTATAATTATTAGTATCGTAAGTTTTTTAAGGAATAAATAACTTCTGAATTTATTTAGTTCTTCAAAATATTTTTCCAAATAATTAAATAAAGAATAATAAAGTGATGTTCGTGGTTCAACTTCAGTTAGAAAGTCTCTCCTAAATTCACCTAATCATCAAAATAATCACATGAAAATGTGAGAGGTTTCACTACCTCCTTATAATGTTGTTGAACAAATTTAGATGCTTAATCCTCTAAATCATTCTTTACGGAAGATATTATGTGTTGAAGAGCCTCTAGTTTCATTACAAGCGAAACGTCATTAGTGTGATCTCACTACTTCCTTATAATGTTGCTGTACCTTATGTATGAATAATATGTCTTGTTAGGATGAATTTTATATTATATACTCGTTCGGTTCTAAATATAAGACTTATTTTATAGTGCAATTTATAATATAAAATGAGTTTTATATTTAGAACTGATAGGGTATCAAAATATTGATGATTTTATATGATATAAGCAAACACACACTAACACACATACATATTATTTTTTATTATTTGGTGAAAAATATTAGTGAGTTAAATTTAAGTATTATTAGCTATATAATATTTTAATAGTCGTGTTATTAATAATTTTTATATGAAAACTTCTAAGACGTATCGTTGTATTTTGAAAGGCTCAAATGTCAAGACTTTTAAACGATATTTTAGTGATATGAACAAAAATAATGTTGATATTAACTTTAATTTATTTTTCATACCTAATTCTAATTTTGTTTACATTTTATTTCTGAAATGCTTAATATATATTAAAATGTGTTATAATATCAGGAGAATTACAACCAGGGCCTAAAGAAAATATTTAATTACCTTAAAGTTTATTAACAACCGAAAAGTATGTAATGACAAATTTTAAAGTAGGAAATGACGGCAGTTTTATATTGGTTACTTATCATTGAAATTTCTTAATAATTAAATTCTTTTTTTTGAAACTTTATGATAATTCCCCCTATAATATTCACATTAAAAAAAAATACATACATATGTAGGCTTGCCAATTGTCCCAAGTTGACATAAATAATGGGTAGTCGAATAGTGGCGGCCACGTATGGGGAGCAATTTTCACGTGTGCGCGGGCGCATTAGCTATTGTGAGTGTTATCATCAACCGTAATTATCAATCAATATAATATTAGCATATAAGATCCATCCATTTTTCCAATTTTCTTTGTCTATATAACCTCACACTTAATACTTAGATCAAGTTCCTTACAATCATCATATACAGTTCTTTAATTACATATTATTATATGCCTTTTTTTTTTTCATGTGGGTTTGGATTAAATGATAATGTAAAATTAAACCGGACAAAAAGTATAGTTAGAGAACTTGACATAATAATGATAAGA